TCCTTTCTTCAACTTTACTTGTAAATGTGAGAAGTTTCTAGGAAGAAAATTGTCTTCCATTATTTTTTTCCAAAACTACAGGTGGCCAAAGGAGTGTTTCCACTAATTCTTTTTCAGAGATTTTTCATCCCCAGAGACTGTGACCTCATGGATTTGGGTGGTACCAGGGTTTCAGGATGTTTCAGGTTGCCCAGGAGGCTCTCACGTGTGGCCCAGGGTTGACACTTACTGTGGCCCTTCCTGGGAAGAAGGATGCCCTCTCAATCTATTGTCAATACTGCTAGAACCTGTTCTCGGCAGGCCGAGGTCTTCAAAGTGGACTTTAGATATGTCAGGGTCATGACCTTGAGAATGGGGCAGATCTGGAGGCATTAACCAAATGGAAGATGTACAGGCAGGTGAAAGGAAGCAGCCTAGAGAAATTCCCACAGCAGGCCCAGGGGCTGCAACTGAACAGGAAGGCCTGGTGCTCCTCAGCCCCTTCTTTATAAAACCTTCATTCCAGGTCCAGCTACTTTCCTCAAACCTACCCAAATCCCATCTAAGTAGCTAAAGCATTCTCTTCTTTCTCCTTCTCCGGTCCAGCATGTCTTATTATTGGCATTAATTATTTCTCCCCTGCATGCTTTCTGTCCACTAGAAAAAATGTGACTTAAGCTGGCAGCTGGAAATCTTCCTGGCTAAGGTAGAAATGTCTAGAGATTTAAAGTTTCAGTGTCTAGAAAAATATTTGGGAATCTTCTATGAATCCATAGATGTTTACAAGGAAGATCTTTAACTAATGGGGTAATGCTACTTTGGTCTAAGTCATTGGGATGCCGGGTTGGAAGGTCTATTCATAAAGAGTGAGTAACTGTCTATCCTAAAGGACAGTGTAAATATGCTACAGTAACAAACAGTCCTAACATCTCAACACAACGCAGAATCATTTTTAGCTAATGTTCCAAATTCAAGTTCCTTGGGCCAGGGCAGTTGAGGACTTGCCTCCATGTCATTTTTAGTCAGAGACTAGAAATGGAACCTCTGACCATGGATAGCTTTGACAGGGGAAGAACAAATCATGTATTTGGCTCTCAAAGGTTTCAGCCAGCAAATAGTGCATGTGACTTCTATTCCCATTTTATTGGCCACGGGAAGCCACATGGTTCCCTGTGACCCAAATGGTCAAGGAAATGTAATCCTACCTTGCACTAAGGAGGAAGAGAATCAGATATTTTTGGTAAACAGCACTAACCATCATTAAGAACGTGTCCAGTATCTCCGTGAGGCCATAGACTGCTTCAGGCCCCCAGCAGTCTTACAAGGGGTTCATCATCTGCAGTGGCTAACAGCATTGTCTACAGACCCCTCAAATTGCCATATATCGGGCAAATGCAATTTGTTTTGAAATAGCTGACTTTCAAATTATTATTGAACTCATAGTAGCTTTTATTCTTGATGTATTTCTTTTTAAAGACCCTGTATTAAAATTACAGCTGTTAGGCTAGGAGTGTAGCTCAGTGGTAGAGCACTTATCTAATATGCATAAGGCCCTTGGCTGTATCCCCAGCACCATTAAAAAAAAAAAAGAAAAAGAAAAATTATAACATTATATGGGAGAAGGGTTTTGAAGTTTAACAAAGCATCCTTGTGTTTGAGAAGATTGGGAGTCACCAAGTTAACATTTTATCTGACTCAACACGATGGATCATTCAGGTATCTGTCTTAGGTGGTTTCCTTCATAAGCCAGCATCTAGGTTGTGATTGATAATCCTGAGACGAATGTCTCATGAGTGTGGAAGGCACTGGCTGAAATATACACTTGACCCAGGTACAGTATATTACTGCTGCCACCATACAAATTGCACATGACAGTTTTAATCATCAATTTCTGCATCTTTAGACTGCACCTGAGTATAGTTGCCTTGAAATGCATGTAACAACGGAACTAAAACTCCTTGTGATAAAAATATATGTAATTTCTCTTTATGTCCTTTCCATGAAATCACTTGTCATTAAATATCTACTATACCTAAATTTCTGTGGACTACCTAGTAAAAATTAATTTGAATTAGAAGTTATTATTTTCCAAATGTCCACCTGTTAACTTATGGTCTTTGCTTGGGAGGAGGGGGTGGAGATCTTTGTTCTTAAATCTTTTGAGAAATATTCTATCATGTTATTTTCCTTCTGCTTTTGAATTCACCCTGCATCCAGTTCTTTTCATTGGTGCTGGATGAAAAGATGTTGAATACACCAGTATGTTCTGAGGGGACACTCCCCCCTGCACCTGTTCTTTTCTTCTGGTAAAGACTAGTCACAAAAGAATCAAGTACGAAGAGGAGAATTCTCAGTTCTTTTCCCTACTTACCATTTCCTCAGTCTCTGGAATTTTCTTACACTATTGGTTATGCCATATGATATCCTGTAGAAGTCCTTCACCCACGGAAATTTTCCCTGGGCTCGGGACTCTCCATCCACCTGCAGACTGTTTTAAAACCAGTCAGTGTTCCTCTTTTGGATAGCTATTTACGATTTTGAAAAATTCTGCCTGGGGTATAGAAAGAGAGAGAGAGAGAGAGAGAGAGAGAGAGAGAGAGAGAGAGAGAGAGAGAGAGAGAGCGCAAGCCCATGAAATTGGCATTTTTGAATAATTTCTGCATCAGACGAAAGCAAAGAATTTTCCAAATACAACTTCACATGCCACAGAGAGAAAAACAAACTGGAAAACAACTTAAGCCTCTGGTGCAGGTGTGTTGGCAAAAATTTCCACACAACTTTCACGTGATTCCTGCTGCTAAAAAAAAATATTGTTCAGATTGAGAGCTCTTGAACTGAGAAGAGGGATCTTGAAGGATGTAAGAATGTTCTAACTCCTTTTAAAATTAAGCTTTTATTTCTATGACCCACAAGTTTTAAAAAGATTTAAAAGTCACTGAAAATAATAAATAAAAAAGAACATCCTTCCCCCAAGTAATTACATTACACAGAGATAGCTATCAACATTTTGCCATACATTATCCCAACACTGTTTCTATACAGAAAAGATATATATTTTAATTAAATTGTATTATATTGAAAATTATGTTTAATGTACAAGATTTATAACTATAGATTAAATATGAATTAGTTTATTATTCACATACTCTATTTCTTTATAGATTTTAAGGTACTTAATCAGACAAGAACCAGAGTGGTATGTTAAAAATACTCAATCCAGGGCCAGGGTTGTGGCTCAGTGGTAGAGCGCTTGCCTTGCATATGTGAGGCACTAGGTTAGATCCTTAGCACCACATAAAAATAAACAAAATAAAGATACTGTGTCCATCTTAAAAACAATCTTAAAAAATACTCAATCCAAATTTCTAATTGTATTTTAATAGGTTTCACTCTCCATATTTTAATTTTTACCATTAAAATTACATGACTGTTAAAATTGCATTCATAAAAAAAAAATTTCATTCATCATTGTAAAGCAGAGCTCTAAAAATACCTTGAAACTATTTTACAAGATAGAAAGATTTTGAAATTATTAATTTTTTCTTGTCTACCAAGTAAAGGAAACTTGTTTGGAGAAAATATAAAAATAAGAAGTTATATTAAACATTGTTACTTTTACTGACATAGAATGACCTCTGTTGGCTCATTTATCTTTTGGGTTGAATTGTGCCTTCGACAAATATTTCATCCTTGCCTTATTTTATTTGATATTCGTTTGCTACATTTTGGCTTTTAGTTTTATTTTTAAATATATTGCAGTCTTCAAGGTGGTGGTGACATATGTCTCACAAAAGGAGGGAGCTGGATTTTGCCTTTTCACCCATTCGGAAGCGTTGCCTTTCACAGATGTGTTAGGCACGTTCATGTACTGATTGAAGTCCCACGGGTGACACCTGAACCATTCTGTTCATGGCTATGTTTTTCTTCTGTGAAGTTTTTTTTTTTTTTTTTTTGCTCTGACTGTTGCTGCCTAGATTCCCCTTTAGCTCATCTCTTTCCCACTAGCAAAATGTTCTTAATCTCAGTTCTCAGAGAAAAAAATGAATCTCAGGGCATCCAAAGATTCCCTGGAATGGTGCAAAGCTGCGTGTGCGTGTATGTCTGCACCAGCCTATCTGGCAGGAGGATGCACCCCTCCCTCTAGTGTCTCCCCTCAAACCTCCAACACGTTATCCACATCTTCACTTCTATCTGCTGAGGAAAGAGCGCAAGAAGAGAATTGCCACCCCTGTCCTTCCCAGCTGTCAGCCAACTTGACTGGTTTTAAGCTCCCAAGCCTGGAGATTGTAGGAGAGGACCCAGCCTCCCCTTAGAGGCCCTCAGGGGAGCCAGGCTGGAAGGTGGAGGATGTTGGGAGGGGAGGCCAGGGCTGTGGAGGGTCCCAAGAAGGCAGACCTGGAGCGTCAGGGCTGGCAAGGGCCAGGTGGGTGTGGGGTGCTGTCAAGGGAGGGGTGGGCGTGGGGTGCTGACAGCCAGGAGGCAGTGCTTGGGTGTAGGGAAGCCAGGGAGTCCAGGCTCATGTTGCAAATGAGTAAACAGGTCTAAAAGCCAAGGGAGATCTGCTCCGGGGTTTCTAGGACGGACAGTGGTGACCTGGCTCAGGTGCTGGCATGGTGAGAGGGAGGGTTCTGTCACAGCTCACTTTTTCTCTCCTGTCAAGGTGAGGAGGGGTGGTCTTTTTCTCTCCATGCAGGTGAGGAGGTCAAGGGAGGGGTGCTCTTCAAAATGTCTTTCTAAAATATGCAAAAACTGTCACCACAGCTTTACCATTTTGAGGGAGCTGGTTTCTTGGTTTGGAGAACCTTTCACAGATACACGTTTTGCATGTTACGGGTGGTACGCATGTTGTTCTATATTGACTGTTTGATATATTTCTGAGGCACTTTTTCCACACTTCCACATAGTTTCAGAAATGATCCTTGAATGGTTCCATGAAACCTCATGCTATGGATGGACCAAAATAAGTTCTGAAGCAGTTCCCCAAATGCTGGACACCTAGTTTGCCTCTATGTGTTTTGCAGGATGAGATGGAGTTGCTTGAACCCCACTGAGCACCCACCTTCACAGCAGGTCCCAAGAAGCAGCCTGGGGTGGGGAGTCACACCACTGCCCGACTGCTGCCCATCCAGTGCTGCCTTTGCCCCAGGACCTGACCTGGCTCCATGACCAGCCTCTCCTATCTGCATGGATGTGTGGGGCATCCTACCTCGACTGCTCCGTTTTCTGGGCTGCAGGAACCCAGGGCCAGGCTTGAACTCCGTCTATAATGGAGATGGGGGTGGAAGCTAACATGTCTGGTTTCTGTTGAGGGAAGTAGGTTCCATGAAGCCAAGAATTTCTCAAACACAGTATGACTACTCCCAAGTGCCCAGCAGACAGGAACATGGCCAGGGCTGAGGAGAGGCTGGACCAGGCCATGATGCAGCCAGTAATGAAGGAGCACACAGCATAAATACAAGCTGGCCCGCATTTGGGTGACATCCTTTTAAAGATGAAAAGACTACCTTAGTAGAAAATGGCATTCTTTTCCTTAGTTACTTGAAAGGGAAACACTTATTCCCCTTTACTTTTCCTTAGTTTTTATTTGGCCTTATGGAAATTCATTCATGCTTCATCATGGAATCCCTGGTGTCCAGTAAAATTCTCAGCACATACTAGATGCTTGACAGACATTTATTGGATTGATGGATTGATGTTCGTAGCGGCATTGATGGAGCTGGCAGAGCCTATCCCAACAGAGTTCCAGAGCTGTCTGTCCTGGGGGCTGGGCATGGGCTGCTGTGTCCCCACGGGCAGACAAACCTCACTGTGTACAGGTTCAGAACTCTCATCTCCCATATTAGCCCCAGCCTCTTCCTGCCTGGTCCCCAAGGCCCAAAAGATTGTAATAGCTTCCTGCTGGCCCCTCAGCTTCTAGCCTCTCCCTACCTCCCTTCCTCCCCTCTTCTAAGATACACAATATTTCTGTCCTAAAATCCTTGTTCTCCATCACCTGCAGGAAAGAACCCCAAATCCACAGTTTTTTCTTAACAGTCCTTTCAGAATTCATCATAAGATGTATTCCAAGCTTTAGGTGAGCCATGGTGGCACACATCTGTAATCCCAGCAGCTCAGGAGGCTGAGGCAGGAGGACTGCAAGTTCAAAGACAGTCCCAGCAAAAGCAAGGTATTAAGTAACTCAGTGTGACCCTGTCTCTAAATAAAATACAAAATAGAGCTGGGGATGCGGCTCAGTGGTTGAGTGCCCCTGAGTTTAATTCCTGGCACCACCCCCCACCCCGGCCCCGCCAAAAAAAGATATATTCCTTGCCAAAAAAAGATATATTCCTTGCTTTTATGATTATGTCAAAATTGATTCTACTGTCATGTATAACTAGAAAGAACCAATAAAAAAAGAAAGAAAACAACTTAAAAAAAATTCACCTTCACTTTCCTTCTCTTCTTCCTTATAAAATCGCTTCCCTGGTCCCCAAACCCTGAACTGTGCCCCATGCACCCCACACTCTAGTCAGTGCTTGGAAATACCCTCTGCTGCATGATTTTTGCTTTTCTCATGCATCCCGTCTGCATGGGATATACCCACTTGCCATGTTACCAACTACTATCACACCTGTAAGACAAAGGTCTTCTTTTTTCTCCTCCTTAATTCCATCCTAGCCTCAACTCTTCAGAATCTACTTCTCATCCAAAGCCCCTGGGCCCTTATATGTGCTACTTCCTGTGTTCATAGTCAGTGCGTCTGTCTCAGAGCTCAGCAAGGGATAAGCAAATCATCTTTCCTCTCTGGAGCCTCACTCAGTGCCTGGCACACAGTCGGCTGTGTTTTGAGTGATTTTGTAGAACTGAGTGCCATCTCTTGGGTCGCAGCTATACCTGTACAAATACTCACGGGTCTTCCCCAGTGTCTAGATTCTCTTCCCCCACATTCCAAGACTGACTTGAAAAGCCACTGTGAAGGTAAATCTTTCTCACACATAAGGCCCAGGATTATACTTTCACAAAGAGAAAAACTTCTCTCGATTCTGTTTCTAAATGACAGATGACCTCTCCAGGAAAAAAAAAAAAAAAAAAGGAAAAGAAAAATGCCATTGTGTGGCAGAAGTCAGGAAGGCTTCACGCTGTCTGAATGCCAACCAGGCGATCTGTGTTCCCAATCAGACCTGCGATCCCCACGCACAGGACAATGTTGGTTTGACCTCAGCAGAAATCAGATCTGCTCTACATGGCGATGATGACAGCAAACATATGGAATTGATTAAATGAATAAATAACCCTACTTAGTTTTGCATAAGAATATGTGGTACCCAGGTCAAAGATAATCCCTAATTTTTCTATGCATAATAGATTCCAAAGTGTAAACATCACCAGTAGCCTGAACCAAACTAGATGCTTTAAGTCAACAGTCAAAGGTGTGATTGTAAACTCGGAAATATTGACAGTGTTTGTGAATATCACTTCTCTAAATTAGGTGAGAGGTCCACAGCTGATGTGGGTGCCTAATTTATCTGATATCCTAGTGTCAGGCCTTGGCCAGCCCCAGAAATCGGATGCTAGCCTTCTTGCTACTTCTCAACTGTAGACCATTTCCTCTAGATTTTTGTCTGCCATCGTTTAATTTATAAATGCAGCACAATATCAAATAATCCATCAGAAACTTGCTATTCCCTGCTGAAACTTCCTGAGTTATTTCGTTCCTTTGAAGTCACAGGCATTAAACAAAATTTGTTAAGGCCTCAAGGTGATTTCTGTTGATGGCAATTTTACTTTACTTTTTCATTTCATGAGGTTTTAAGAGCTATTCCTCGGTGATCTCCGGCTCCTGTCATTGGTAGGCATCGCCCCTGTCTGATCCTGACTGCACCAGGGCACCAGGGCACCAGGACCCAGTACCCTGGGGCTGGACAGGCTGGGGAGAGCTGAGCAGCAAGCTGTGGGAGGAAAGGCAGAAGCCAGGGTGCAAGAAAAGAGGTCAAGGGCCTGGACCAGGGGCCGACACTAGGCAGATCCTCCGCAGCGAAACCCAACGAGACTGCGGTAGGCAGAATTGTCCCCCATCCCAGCCCCAGGATAAGTCCAAGTGCTACCCCAGGCCCTTGTGAAGGCTGCCTCCTTTGGACACAGGTTTTTGCAGACTTGTGATCCAGCAAAGGATCAGGAGATGAGCTCTTCCTGAATGGGGTGGGCCCTAAATTTGCTGCCTAGCACCTTTGAGAGAAAGGAGAAGGAGTTCAGAGGTGCAGAGATGCAGAGTCACGGAGGGGAAGCCTATGTGGGGACAGAGGTGACCCGGAAGTGATGTGTGGATGAGTCAAGGGACATTAAGGGTTGTTAGCAGCCGGCAGAAGCTAGAAGAGGACTGTGAAATGTTCCCCTCGCAGCTTCCAGAGGGGACAACCCTGCTGGAACCTTGATTTTGGACCTCTGGCCTCCAAGACCACAAAAGGACAAAGTCACCAAGTTCTCAGGAACTTGTTACAGCAGCCCCAGTAAACGAATGCGCCCTTCCACGTAGGTACCCACTCTCCCGTGTGGATGTTCAGCAATCGCAAGCTTGGGGAGGGCAGCACCTGTGCCTTCTCCATTGCTCGGCTAGCCTAGCACAGTGCCTGGCCTCTGTACTTTGGTGCCTGGCATCCGCTTTCATTATGAATGAAATCTGCTCTGCCTCTCACAAAGATGGACCAAAAACCCTAGTGAAAGGGTGATAGGTCTTTCCTTTCAGACTCTAGCAATATAAATCCCCGGAACTAACCAGCTCAAATATAAGAATCAGCACTTAGAGAAGGTGAGGTAAAGTTCTATAATGTTTACTCATGTAAACATGTAAAAGAAGAAAATAAAGAAGCTTATTCTGCTGCATTTCCACTCCGGTTCAATGTCGGTGGGACCAAGACAGATTGGTGACCTGCATAGGATAAGACATTCTCCTTTTTCTTCCAGTCCACAAATATTTCAAATGTTTCTTGAGCACTGTTAACAGTGGTAAGCGCTTTGTAGAACCTCGTGGAAGACGAAGCAGCAGTTAATCAAAGGACTGCAACTGTGCTAGCACATCATTCCAGACACAATAAGAGCATGAAAGGGAAATAAGTCTCTGGTCACTAGCAACTGACAGGTGTGTTCCGGGAACTCTCCTGTGAAGCCTATGATCAGGGACCATTTCTCTTTTTGTTTTCTTCTATTTTCTTAGTGTCTAGCTCACGTTATGATCCAGCTATACTGAACTGAATAATTAAATAAGTGTTATTCTTCTGTCATCTAGAATCTCAATGATACTTTTCTCCCCCTTTCTAACTGACTTTCACTGTAGAAAGAGCAGTGCATCCTTTCCCTGGATCGGAGAGGTTGGATGAGCCGGCATCCCAGCCGGCCAGAAATCAGGAAAGACCCAAGGGAAGCCTATTCTTAAGGATGTGGCTCAGAGGTGGAGACAGGAGGCAGAATCACAGGGTCTGGATTCTTCTCTGTAAAAGGAAACTTCATCAGGGAAGCTGCCAGCATCCTGCCAGGCCATCTGCTTTGGCAGCCACGGGCACCTGTTAGAACATGTGGTGCCTAAACAGAGACTTTGTCTACACAGATAACCACTGCAGGCTGGATGGCGTTTGCCAGTTGAAAGAAAAAAAAATCATCAAGACAAGGTTTTGATGAGCCACACTTCCCAAAATATTTGGTTTTTTTCTGCCTTTGCAATTTTAGTCAAAAAGTTTATGTGGGTAATTGCCAACCAACTGATGCCCTCATGAAGCACCTGTTGAATGCAGGGTCAGCACTGAGCCTTGGGGAGCTGGGATTTCTGTCCTCAGCTTATCACTGGATGAGGAAGTGGGCATCCTGGGGACATCTGCATCTCTGCCAACAGCACCCTTTCTCTCTTCTCCCCGTGTGGGGTGAACCCTTGCCCCATTCTTCAGTACATCTGTTTCTGATGAATTTGAATCCCCCCTGGGCTCAGGATTGGAACACGTGGCTTAGATTAAGCCAATCAGTTCTTTGCATTGTTCTGTCCATGGTCAATGAGACTTTGCTGGAATGTTGTTCCCAGATCTCCCCATCCCCTGTTGCATAGGAAGCTGGAAGGATGGAGCCCTGGGAGCTGCTGGCAACCAACTTGTGCCCAGGTGGGGCCACAAAGTGATATCAGCACCAAAAGTATGGAACTGAGAGATGGAGAAAGGGAAATCAGACATTAGGCCAGCCAAGATTGGAACCCCGGATCAAGTCTTGCCTGAACTCAGAAACGCTCCTGGACTCTTCATTTGCAAGAATGAAAAAGTTCTCTTCTTTCTTTCCGGCTTACACCAGTTTGGTTTTCAATTTCTTCCACACCTGAACTGACATAGAGACACTATCAATAATCAATAATGGATTAAATGTAATAGATAACCAATAAATTTATCAATTTTATTGTGTATCAATAAATGCCCAAGGTCAAGAGAGTGGCCCGTAGGAGTTATACATACATAGAGTAAAAGAAAAGGCAGAAAGAGAATGTTCTGTCTCAGCCAGGTGTGCTCATGAGAGGAACAGACGAGGAGGAACCCTGCAATCTTTTGAGCCAAAAAATGACCTGATGAGAAGGAAGTGGAGCCCCAGGGTTTTATCAATCAGCTCTCCACACAATTAGGAGAGAGAGCCAGGCTGGCTTGAAGGGCAAATGAATGTTTTGTTTGTTTAACCTTGCCTTTCAGAGGCTCTTAACTCATTAGAGGATGTTAAATTATACTGGTTTTCTCTTTGGTAACAGAAAAACAAACACCACAGGAGCCCTCACCTTTCCCACTGATGACAAAGAGCCCTGTGAATGTGCCCTTGGCCTCCAAGGAAGATGGCGCAGCCGTCACAAGCCATCTGGGATGCCTTGGAGGATTTCAGATCTCAGGGTCAACCGTGATACTGACTAGATGAGTCTTGAAAGTGCATGTAAGACAAGGTGACATGGACCAGGTAAGGGATCCAAGTTGGAGTCCGTTAAGCCTAATAAGTCAAGATTCTTCAGAACACAGAGGCGTGTCATAGGCCTCTGTTGCTCAAACTCCCCTGATGGAAACTAGACCTTCAACTCATCTTCAGAATATTCCTGAGTGTGTCTACTATCACCACTAGCCCTGCTTATAAATTGGGGGCAGAAGTGAAAAAAAATCAAAAA